GGCCGCGTTCTGTTGTCATTGTGACGTCACAAAGGGACGGGCCCGGGTGGAACCTTCCCCTCGGTGACGTCAAAAGTCGGGCGGGAGGTTCCAGGCACGGTGGGGCTGCCGTGGGAGGAGGGCGTGGAACGCGAGCCGGGGCTGCTGCGGAACCCTGCTGCGTGGGGGGAGGTGGAGGAGACCGAGGAGGAGGAGGAGGCGGAGGAAGGGGAAGAAGCTCTCGGTTTCTGCCTTCAGCCTTGGAATGCCGCAGGTCGGTCCAGGTGAGTGCTGGGGAGCTTTTGCCGGGATACCTGGTTTGCATGCCACGGAGGGGGGGCTGGGGACGGGGCGCCGGCGCCTCCTTTCTGCAGGAATGTTTTCGCTTCCTGAATTCCAGGTCTCCTGGTGGTGTTGCATTACTCCCGTAATTGCATGACTTAACTGTAGTCTCCAAACCAAATGCTAATGAAAACGTAGGAAACTTGCCTTTAGGGGAAGCTCGCCTGTGGGAGGACGGTGTTGTGGATTCAGCCACTTTGTCACTCTGGAGTGTGTCTTGGTAAGGATGTGGCAGGGGTGCTCTTCAGGGTGATGATGCACAGCAACAGCTGTTGCTCTTTCTGAAAGCCACTATCATGAGTGGGGTGCTCCCCTCTTGTGCCAGAACTTTGCCTATAGAGTGTATTTTGGGGCGCTGGAGAAAAAAGCAATCTTGTACTTAGAAGTTCCTTGGGTCTCAAGCTGCTCTGGGCTTACTTAGTTGGTCTCAGCATGAGGACAAATGGTTCACACTCTTGAGTTTTTCACTTTTGGGTAAAATGGAAAAATTAATAGCTGCTTTTATCACTTTACTAAGTCACTGAAACGTATGAAGTCACTGATCGTGTGGGTAGGAGATGTAAAGACAGTGTGCTTTATATGGAAAGTGGCGTTATTGAGCTGGTACAAGGCAGTGTGCTCGGTACGATTGTTCTCAAAAGCTTTAGACGCTTGTCGAGTTGCCATGTCGTTTATTTCCTTAGCAAAACAGCATTTGAGGGTGTGATTGTAGATGGCAGGCGTTGGGAGGCATGATCGCTGTATTTCTTATTAAATGACATCCTTGGGAAGCCCATAAATTGCAATATAATCCTGTCTTAATTGTCCTCGGCAGGACTCCCACTACAATACCTTAAATAACTAGAAACACTTGCCTTTTAGAGCCCCAATCCTCTTGGACAATAAACCAGTTGCATGTTTTGTTCAGTGGATGTTTTCTTAGTGGGGGTAGCAGGCTTTACAATCATTTGGTCTTAGCTTGATAGCTGGTATGAGCTTGAGACATTGCCACATGACGATTTGATTTCATGCCTTTAGCCCTAAAACAAACTACTAGTTTGATTTCTAGGACAACTCAAGTAGAATTTGTACCCCTCAAGTGTAATAAGTTTTAAGGTTCTAGTTTTCCTTTCTTAAAAGTACAGCATGAAGCCAGGCAGTACAGCATGAAGGCAAGCTTCTGTGGCTTACACTTTCTAATTCTAGCTACTCAGGAGGCCGAGAACTGAAGATGGTGGTTTGAAGCCAGCCTGGGCAGGAAAGTCCATGAGACTCTGGACTACCAAAAAGCCAGAAGCGAAGCTGAGGCTCAAATGGTAGAGCACTAGCCTTGAGCTCAAATCTCAGGGACAGTGCCCAGGCCCTGAGTTCAAGCCCCCAGGACCAGGACACACTGACACACCAGAACACACACACACACACACAGCTGAGGCTCACGCACATACCAGGACAGTGCCCAGGCCCTGAGTTCAAGCCCCAGGACCAGGACACACACACACACACACACACACCCAATGGGTTGAAATTGATTCACTTCCAAGTGCCTTAGAAATGACTCTAGTGTTAATATAAATTTTGCTCCAAAGGTTATTGGAACTTTTCTCCTTCAGAATGAGAAAAACTTCTGGAGTATGTAAGTGGTGTCTGGTCTACATTCACAGAACTATCTTCTTCCTTCCTTCCTTCTTTCCTTCCTTTCTTTTCTTTTTTTTTGTCCTTTCAAAGAAGACAAGGGAGTGGAAGGGAAAATGGGAGAAAATGAGGGAGGGAGTAACAATGTTTGACAAGAAATGTACTCATTACCTTATGTAACTGTAACCCCTCTGTACATCACCCTTACAATAAAATAAAATAAAATAAAACTTAAAAAAAAACAAGACAAGGGAAAGTCATACTAAGCCTGGTATATAAACACTTGTAAAAAGGCTAACTTGGAGTATTTTTCATCTTGTGGCTTGTCCTTGATCTTGATCATACAAGGACTGTTTTTATTAGAAATTTGGACTGCCTTATTGCAGTCCTCCAATATTACTGGTCTGAGTTTCCCCTAGGAATATCAGCTCTCCCAAGCACCTTCTACCTACTCAGTGTCCTTGCCCTTGGGTGTAGAATGTTCTGACCTATACTACAGCTTCTGGCCAGTGGGCCGATCTGGGATGTGCTTCTGTCCCCTTTGGCTCACTCCCAGAAAGCTTGCCAAGTGTCAGTTGTTTGTTCCCAAATCTGGTTATTCCAGTTGGGCTTATTATTGTAATTATAATTAAATATTATGTAAACCTTCAAACGAGTGTGAAAAGACTTTGGTTTCTATGAAAACTTTTGAGTTGCATGTTTTGGGGAAGACTTGTTAAAAGCTAGGTAGTTACTTAAAAAAGAAGGGATGGGGGAGCTGTTAGGTTAGATGTAATATAGGCTGTGTGTTTATAAGATGATGTGAGGTCTCCACATACTTCTTTGTAAGTCTTTGCCTTTTCCCTAGTTCTGGAGACTCTGAGCATTCATTCCCTTTTAAGACCCTAATTTTACTTATATCTAAACTCCCTCCTCAACAAAAAAGCATAA